AAAAAGAAGATTGACATAAAAGGCTTTTATCTAGAGGGAAGGTAACCCCTTTTCTGTTCAAATGAAGAATTGGAGCCCATATCAATCCTTAGGGACAATACTTCCGAACAATGATTTAACAAGAATAAAAGCTACAGCTTGAACTAGGATTCCTCCAAGATGGAGGACGGGAAAAGTTGTGGCTATAAGAGCTGCTCCTTTTTTGAGGTATTTTCAGTGTTGGAGCTGATCTCCTCGAATTCTATGAGCAGTGATTACTGTTTTACAAGCTGTTGCATTGTTTTAGAACTTTGGGAAGAAAAGGATCAAAACAACAGCATTTTAAAAAGGAGAAAGAGAGACAAAGGTAATGACCACATGGGCAGTGATTCAAACGGTGACCTGCTGCCTTTGCTTTCTGGTTTCAAAAATCTCTGACATCGGAATTCTAAAATAAACAAACAGCAAAATTCACAGCGGACTTTGGAGAAACCTATGTGTGGGAGCTCACAGCAGGGGAGCAGCTAAGTGGCTTTTTAGAGTGCAACCTTACTGTTTGTCTTTTGTAAATTTACCATAGTGAGTAGAGTGGGTTTTTTTTAATTGAGATCTGTCTCTCGAGTAAACTTTAAAAATATAAAAACATAGGTACTAAGCTAGCCTGAAGCAGTATTTTTAGAGCAGTAAGACTGCTATTTTCTGGATCTGTAGATTGTTAAGATGCAAAGATGGCCTTTAGTAGAGTGATTTGCTCCTCATGTTGGATGTGGGAGATTAGGGAGAATTTTCATGTGACTGATGGTTATGTCTGCAGGAAGCATGTATGGTTGCAAATCCTATCAGGTTGCATGGATCGGTTGATGCGGCAGTTAAAGGCAATGAGGAATTTACAGCAGCTAGGGGGGTGTGATGGAAGGCAGTCGCAGGGAGGGAGATAAACCGAAAACACAGTCAGGTAGATGGGTGACATCCAGGAAAGGTGGGAGGGGGTAGGCAGGTAGTGCAGGAGTCTCCCGTGGCTCTGCCCATCTCAAATAAGTTGGCTGTTTTGGGAAACGTAGGGGGTGATGGACTCTCAGGGAAATGTAGCACTGACAGCCAGGTTTCTGATATCAAGACTGGCTCTAATGTAACAAGGGGTGTGCCAGGTTCCAAATGATCGATTGTGATAGGGGACTGTCTAGTCAGAGGCACAGACAAACACTTCTGCCGTCGACAGCATGACAATCAACTGGTGTGTTGCCTCCCTGGAGTCAGCATCAAAGATATCAAAGAGCTGCTCGGGAGGATTTAAACTAGTAAAGAATGGGATTGATGGGGCCCATGGGGATAGTGAGGAAAGAGAGCAGTCTGAGACTGATACAGTTGGGAAAAGGAGTAAGTCAGTCAGGGCAGGCGGAAACAAAGCAGAGAACAAAGTAGGACTGATAAATTAAATTGCATTTATTTCAATGCAAGAGGCCTAACAGGTAAGGCAGATAAACTCATGTGGAACATGGGACTTGGATATCATAGCTGTTACAGAGACATGGCTCAGGGATGGACAGGACTGGCATCTTAATATCCCAGGTTATAGATGCTATAGGAAGAATAACAAGCGGGAGAGGGGGTGCAATAGGGGAGGGGACTAGCATTTTTCATTAGGGATAACACTATGGCTGTACTTAGGGAGGATATTCCTGGGAATATGTCCAGGGAAGTTATTTGGGTGGAACTGAGAAATAGGAAAGGGATGAGCTCCTTATTGGGATTGTACTATAGACCTCCCAATAGTCAGCGGGAAATTGTGAAACAAATTTGTAAGGAGATCTCAGGTGTCTGTGAGAGTAATAGGGTGGTTATGGTAGGGGGATTTTAACTTTCCAAACATAGACTGGGATTGCCATGGTGTTAAGGGCTCGGATGGAGAGGAATTTGTTAAGCGTGTACAAGAAAATTTTGTGATTCAGCATGTGGATGTACCTATTAGAGAAGGTGCAAAAATTGACCTACTCTTGGGAAATATGGCAGGGCATGTGACTGAGGGGACAGTAGTAGCACTTTAGGACCAGTGACCATAATTCCATTAGTTTCAAAATAGTGATGGAAAGGCATAGACCGGATCTAAAAGCTAAAGTTCTAAATTGGAGGAAGGCTAATTTTGACAGTATTAGGCAAGAACTTTCAAAAGATAATGTTGGGTGGGTGGTGGGCAAATGTTCGCAGGTTCAGCTGGAAAATGTGAATGGTCAGATAAACATTCAGTAACCAAAATGTTTCAAGTAGGAGAAGAGGTATTGGTCTTGTTGCCTTTTCAAGATGTATCTCTGAAAGCAAAGGCCTCCCCATGCAAAATAATGAGGTGAGTTGCTAAAGTGACTTAATTGAGAAATACTCCCGATTGTAGGAAGAAAACATGCAGTTCTGTAACACAAACACATTGAAATGGTATCATCGTAGGGAACAGGATAAGGTGGAGTAAGTGTGTCAGCTGGTTACAGTAGTGGAAGGTGATGAAGTTAATGAGACTGAGATAGAAGGAGAGGTAGACAGTTCTCAAAATGAGTCTCCTACATTTCAACTAGCTAACACAGAAATACTGGGACAGTTAGACATTGTGTCCTTATATTTAGAGAAAATAACCAAAGAATCTTATATGAGTACTGAGGAAGTACAAGGTATTCTGTAGAGCTACAGCTGCATGCCTAGCTCTGTGGTTTTTAAATGGTATATGCTGTGGCAAGGTGACAAGATTTTTGGAAGCAGTGGCTGCTTTACCTGGGTGTCGAGGTTACGTCTGTGCTTCCGATTTTCTCCGGAGCTCAGTGCCCATTATTGAAAGCAGTATCTGCTGAGACCAGGTGCTCCTATCAACCGAGCACGCATGAGCCTCCAGAGCTGGGGTGACACCCTCACTCACAAATGCCAATTCCTCCCCAGATCAATAGGTTCTGTACACACAATGGCAGGCCCATGTTTCCCACTAACCTGATGTTTCGCTCTAATCCATTGCTCAAGAATAATTAGAAATCGTTGATTTGAGCAGATTTTGAAAATGTGTCTCTGCTTGCAGTCAAAGACAGTGTATTCTTTCTGGTGAATTTGAAACATTAATATTTTTGATCCTTCTTTAAACGTTGTATGCGCTGTATTGCAAACTTCTCTGGTAAGGCGATAGTAAATGCAAGTCAATGTAATATTTATGAGCAATCAATTCAGCTGAAACAAAACGGGTGTATTTGTCTTGTTGAAGTGTGTTTGCGTTACTGAAAAGGTTGGAACCAACAGGCCTAGCTAACAAAACACATGACATGTACACAGGAAAGTCAGGACTAATAATGAAGGGTCTAGGCCCGAAACGTCAGCCTTTCTGCTCCTATGATGCTGCTTGGCCTGCTCTGTTTATCCAGCTCTGCACCTCCTTATCAGTTGTGTCTGGGAAAACAAGCTCAGGTGCAAAGAAAAGTTCAGAACATTCTGGAAAATCATGTGATTGAACCTAGTTAATACAGTTGGAATTCACCAACAGTGTTAGTCAGTGTTAGACTCTGCATAGATTATAGAAGGTTCGCATGGCGATTGTGGCATTGCCTTCTGGTTCTAGATGTTACTGCAAAAACAGATGTCAGAGGCCCACGCATTCTATATTTTAAATTTTTAAATGAGGGGAAGTAAAGATGCTTCAATGGGATTTGGAGAAGATAAATGAATGGCAAAATTTGGCAAATATAATAATTTGTGGAACAATGAGCTTTTCTACTTTAGTAGAAAAGATGAAATATAGAGTATTTCTTAAAAAGATGAGAAGCTGGGAAACGTTTAACTTAAAAGGGTATGTCCTTTTCAATCAGTCATGAAAGCTAACCTGCACGTACAGCAAGCAATTAAGAAGGAATATGGCATGTTGGCCTTTATTATAAAAGGATTTGAGTATAGGAGCAAAGAAGTCATCCTGCAATTAGCCTTGGTGAAACCATGCCCAGAGAGTTATGTACAGTTTTCGTCTTCTTACTTCACCAAAGATATATATGCCATATGCAATGTTCTGGGCACCTTATTTAAGGATACATATTAAAGCCCTGGAGACAGTGCAAAGGAGATTTACTAGAATGGTACCAGGAATGAGGGGTTATGGATAAAAGATTAGAGAAATTGGGCTTATTCTTCTAGGAGCAGAAAAGATTAAGGGGTGATCTTATTGAGGTGCTCAAAGTTATGAACAACTTTGACAAGGTAAAGAAGGATATTCGATTTCCATCAGTTGCTATGTCAGTAACTAAGAGCCACAAATTCAAGATTGTCAGCAAGAGACAGAGGAGTGAGATGAGGAGAAACTTCTTTACTCAGAGAGTTGTTCAGATTTGGAATGCACTACCTGGAAGAGTGGTGGGGGCAGATTTCTTGGAAGCTTTCAAAAGTGACCTGGATATATGTTTGAAAGGGATGAATTTACAGGGCTATGTAAAGGGCTGGAGAATGGGACTGGCTAGGTAGCTGTTTCGTGAGCCAGTACAGATATAATCGGTTGAATGGCCTCCTTCTGTGCTGTAAAATTGATTCCATGATTCTAAATTAATTTCCTGCTGAACCCAACCACATGTAAATCACTATTGTTTTTCTGTATCAGTCTATATTTACAGAAAGTTTAAATAAAGTGTTGTAAAATTATTCGAATTGCAAGTTTTTAATATAATTTTATCCGGAATGTACCACAGTTACAAACCAAACCAAAAGATGTTGATATCACAACCAAACGCTCTCTGAATCTGGGGAAACTCGACAGTTCTGGTGGGACCTGTGGAGAGAGAAAGCAAAGTTAACATTCCTGGTCCCAGTGACCCTTCCTCAGAACGGATGGTAGCTAGGCTCACTGCACCCGAAACATTAACTCTGCTTTCTCTGCACAGCGGCTGCCAGACCTGCTGAGTTTCTCCAATACTTTCTAATTTTATTTCAGATTTCCAGCACCGCAATCCTTTCTTTTTTCTCTCTCTGAATCTGCATCTCCTCCTCCCAGCCCCCTTTCAGATTGTAAAGTGATTCAGCTTCAAGGGCTGTGTCTGTGGCACTGTGCCTGGCTAAAGTTCATAACATCGCCGAATCCAAGCCACGACCTGCCTGTGGTTTGCTTGTCCGCTCTGAAAGGCCTTTACCCTGTTCACAGCGGCTTTCTTTCCCGGACCGGAAGGAGCTGTCTTTGGCGGTGGATCCGGGGAAATCGAAGGGAAGCTCTACTGAACCTCTGTTATTGCTGGCATCTCCTGCTGTTACGGACGAATTACCCCCAATGGCAGTGCTGAGTGTGTGGGTCGTGGGCACGTTGGCAGCACTCACTCTCGGCTTGTTCCTGCTGCTAAAGATCAGGAGAAGGCAAGTGCACATTTCTCTTACTGTCTCTGCGCTCTTCACAAGCTTGTTGTACCGTCAGAAACAGAACTCGCTTTGTAAATCCTAGGATAATAGAATGTCACCTCTCAATCAGTACTGAACAGAACAGGCAACCCTTTTCTGAATGTACTCTTCATTTGCTCTGATTCCCGTGCCCTTTGCTCTTGTATGTTCCCCCTGCACATCTTTATCCACGTTACTTTTAAAAGCTAGAATGCATTCTGTTTTTTTTTGACGGGGTGTCACAGGATAATTTTCTTGTCCAGAATGTTCTGCTTATGCCATTCTAGAGGACGATAAAGAAATGGGGCAGAAACTGGAAACGTAGGCTTATAGGGGCCAGACGTGCATTAGCAAAAGGAAGCTCCTGGCCGAATTGAAATGGCAGGGAGCCTAGCCGTTTCTGCATAGCCTTGTATAGTTAATGTTGGGAAAAACTTCCTGCACAAGCTGTGTGCACAGTAACTGCTGGCGGGGGCATTCGTTAACAGGGGAAGAAAGAAACTTCACCACAAACAGTAAACGTTTCACTCTGTCCATTGGTTTTCTTGTGTGATTTGTCATTACGAAATAAAGTTAGAAGAGGTGACTTGTTCTGTTATTAAGTCCGCGTGATCAGTAATTCAGTCAAAAATGATTGTGGTACACAGGATCAAAATGTAGAATCAGGTTGGGTGGAGCTAAGAAATAGGAAAGGAAAGAAAGCCCTGCTAAGGACAGTCTGTAGGGCCCCTGACATAGCCACCTTGAAGAACAGAGTATATGACAGACGCTTACAGAAAACGTTCTCTAATATTTGTGGGAGATTTTAATCTTTACATATGAAACAGGAGCAGGAGTAGGGCCATCAGCTTTCAGGCTTGCACAGCCGGCAGAAGCCAGGACAGATTAGATGAATCAAAGTAGCAAAAGTAAACTCGAAAGATGAGTTAATAGAGAATATTCAGGACAGTTTCTCAGAAAATACATTTTGGAAACAATCAGAGAGAGGATGTTTTTGATCTGATAATGTGTAATGAAACAGGATTGATTAATCCTGGAAAGGATCCTCTTGGTATAAGTCATTACCCAATTTAGAATTTCACATTCAGTTTCAGAGTGAGATACTTCTGCCCAAAACAACAGTTAAACAAAGGCAATCACTGGGGCATGAACGCAAGGTTGGCCAAAGAGGTCTGGCTGAATAAATTAAAAGATTTGATGGTAGAGAAATAGTGGTAAACATTTAAAGAGATATTTCAGAATCATGAAAAATATTGAGAAAGAATGCATCATCTGTGACTAACTAAAGAAATAGAGGAAAGTGTCCAATTAAAATAAAAGATGTCCTGCACTCCAAAGATAAATGGTAGTCAGCAACATGATAATGATCAGATGATCTGTTTTTTTAATGTCAATTAAGGGGTTAATATTGACCAGGACATCAGAGAGAACTCTTCCATTCTTATTTGAAACATTGCTGTGGCCTCCATTATCTTTGAGAATATATAGGGTTTCAGTTTAATATCTCAGCTGAAAGGCAGTACTCTTCAACACTGGACAACATTTCCGTGGGACTTGAACATATAACTGTCATTGTCAGACATGAGACTGATAACAAATGAACTCGGCTGACAGCCAACTTCAAGGCTGGGATAAAATGCACCAACTATTAGAACCAAGGAAATCTTAACAGAATGATAACAGAATAGATAAAGAGAGAAAGGGCAAAGGATGACTGTACATATCCAGAGATAAATCTGTCTGCTTCAAGAGAAACAGTGAAGGGCTTCTGAGAGAGCTGCCAATCCGAGAGCAACGTTTTCAAGCTACTTTCAATAAAACGGGACAATTTGTCTGAAAGTGTCTTTAAGAATTAATAATGTGTTGCAATATATTCACAGACTCATGGGAACCTACAGCACAGAAGGTGGCCATTCAGCCTGTCATATCTGTACTAGTGTTTGGAAAGAACAAGAATGCTTAGTCTCACATCACTTTTTTTCTATCCATAACTCTTGTAAGTTCCTCATGACCTGCCCAAATTCTAAAACTTTTATGGAATTAACTTTCACTGTCTTTTCAGGTACAGTACATTGTTCCAAATTCTGAAAGGTGGAATAAAATACCCTCGTACCCCCTCTGCACCCCCTCCCCATTCCCAATGATATTAAATCGATTCCTGACTCACTTACCAGAGGGACTAATTTTTTCCACCTGCTCATGAAATGCTTCAACATCTTGAAGATCCATATTTGGTCACCTTTTAACTTTCCCTGTTCCAAGGTGACTAATCCTCAGTTTAAAAAAAAACTAAAAAATCTTCTCTCTTCATTTTCTGAACGATTTACATCTTTCCTTAAATATGTTGCTTAGCATTGACTACAGTACTCCAGTTGAGACCCAACATGCGACTTATAAAATTGTAATATCATTTCCTTACTGTTATCTTCACCTACCGATAGACACACAAGTTAACCAACGTGTTTATTTTTGTAACCATCTTATCAATTTGCCACATCACCTTTCAGGATCAGTGTATGGGCACTAAGGTGGGCACTTACGTACATATTCCAAAGTAGTGCCACTTACAATATACTGTCTTTTCATATCAATTCTCCAAAGCCACTTCCAAATTGATTTTCTTTTATTCATTTATGGCATGAGGGTATCATTGGTTAAGCCAGCATTTATTGCCCATCCCTAATTGTCCAGAGGACAGTTAAGAGTAAAATACATTGCTGTGGGTCTGGAGTCACATGTAGGCCGGACCAGGTAAGAATGGCAGTTTCCTTCCCTAAAGGACATTAGTGAACCAGACAGGGGATTTTTCTGACAGTCAACAAAAATGGCCACCACTAGACTCTTAGTTCCAGACTTTTATTGAATTCAAACTCCACCATTTCCTGTGGTAGAATTTGAACCAGAATCCTTTATGCCTCTGGATTAACAGTCCAGTGATAATGCCAGTAGGCCACCACCTCCACATGAAGCTGTTGTGCCATTTCACTGTCTGGTCTGTGTTATCCTGACACTTTCCTAAATTTAGAATTGTGGTGATTCTTTCGCTGTCTTTGTTCCTTACGATATATGATTTATTGTTGAAAGGAACTTTCCAATTAACCTAACAAACTTGTTTATGCATGATTTAATTTATGTAGTTCTTCAGTATTTCACTACTAACAGTCAAAATTACTATCAATACTGGTGGGACTTCAATTTCTTGTGAAGCTTGATTTTACATTTGTTTGATTGGTATAAGATCCAATGAGATTAATTAAGTGATCTATTATGTGTACTGACCTCATTTTACATATTTTGCAACTTGAGGTTGTGATATTTCTTTCCTTTTTCTATCATTAAAACTGGTATACTAACGAAGTAAAAATGAGTCACAAAATCCATGAGACATCCCTAATTAAATTCTCTGAAGCGTCAGCCATTTAATCTAGCAGTAACAAAGAACTAAGATACTTTGCAGTAATGTTTACAAATTCAACGGAACTGAAATATCAAAAAGATACAGTTTACAGATAATTAGAAACCAATTAAATCACTCGTATAATGTGGATGTAGTGATAATGCCACTGGACTAGCAGTCCAGAACTTTAGGCTAATCATCCAGGGATCTGGGATTTAAATCCCATCATGGTAAGTGGTAAAATTTAAATTCCAAAGAAAATTTGGAATAAAAAGCCCCACCTAATGGTGACCATGTCACCACTGTCAATTGTAAAACCCATCTGGTTCACTAATGCCCTTTATGAAATAAAATCTGCTGTCCTTACCTGGTGTGTGGCCTACATGTGACTCCAGACCCAGAGTGATGTGGGTGACTCTGAACTGTCCTTTGGGAAATAGGAATGGGCTTTATATGTGGCCCTAGACTCGGACACCCACATCACGTGAATGAGTAGAAAAAAGCTCAAGGTAACTCTAAACACTCTTACTTTATCAGTGTGTAAAATATTCAAAAATATCTAAATGTTTAAGAAGGGAAACAGAGATAATCCAGGTAATTACAGGCCAATGAATCTGATGTCAGTGGTGGGGAAGCTGTTGGAGAAAATACTAAGAGAGAGGATTTATTCACACTTGGAAGTGAATGGACTTGTTAGTGATAAGCAGCATGGGTTTCTACGGGGAAGGTCATGTCTCACCAACTTGATTGAGTTTTTTGAGAAGATGTCAGAACAATTGATGAGGAAAAGGCAGTGGATGTTGTCTACATGGAGTAAGATACTTGATAAGGTACCTCATGGCAGGCTGATACAAAAGGGATCCAAGGTATGCTGCCTAGATGTACACAAAACTGGCTTGGTCATAGAAGACAGAGAGTAGCAGTGGAAGAGTGATTTTCAGAATGTGGATCAGTAATAAGTGGTGTCCCACAGGGATCAGTGCTGGGACCTTTGTTGTTTATTTTATTTATATATATATATATATATATATATATAAATGATCTGGAGGAAAATGTAGATGGTCTGATTAGTAAGTTTGTGGATGACACCAAAATTGATGAGGATGGACAGTGTGCAGCAAAGGTTTACCAGGATGTTGTCTGGTGTGGAGGTTTTTAGTATGAGGAGAGGTTGGATAAACTCAGGTTGTTTTCACTGGAAAGATGAAGGCTGAGGGATGACCTGATAGAGGTCCACTAAATTATGAGAGGCATAGATAAGGTGGATAGTCAGAGGATTTTTTTCCAGGGTGGAAAGGTCAGCTGGGGTGGCATGGTGGCTCAGTGGTTAGCACTGCTGCCTCACAACGCCAGGGACCTGGATTTGATTCCACTCTTGGGTGACTGTCTGTGTGGAGTTTGCACATGCTTCCCATGTCTGCATGGGTTTCCTCCAGGTACTCCAGTTTCCTCCCACAGTCCAAAGATGTGCAGGTTAGGTGGATTGGCTGTGCTAAATTGCCTGTAGAGTTCAAGGGATGCCTAGATTAGGGGGGGTTAAAGGGGGATGGGTCTGGGAGATACGTTGTGAGGGTCAGTGTGGACTTGTTGGGCCAAAGGGCCTGTTTCCACACTGTAGAAATTCTATGATACAACAGGGCACAGGTTTGGGGAGAAATGTAGGGAAAATTTTTCACCAAGAGGGTGGTGGGTGCCTGGAATGCACTGCCAGTGGAGGTGGTGGAAGCAGGCACGTTAGCAACATTTAAGGCGTATCTCGATAGACACATAAATGGGAGGCGAACAGAGGGATAGAAACCACGCATGGGCAATAAGTAGCAGGTCTAAGTAAGGATTAGAATTGGCATGAAACTGGATGGATTGCAATTATTTTTCGAGCAACTTTCCTCAGTACGCTGTTGGGTTGAATTTTCTTGAGGGATGTGATTCCCGCTCATCCACTATATTTAAATGATGTGCAGAGAATATTAATTTCCATTGATTTATTTCAATATTTTTCTTTCTGCAGAAGAGAGGGGGAGCCTCCCATTGAAAATGGTTGGATTCCATTCATTGGTTGTGCTTTAGAGTTTAGTGCTAATCCTCTTAAGTTTCTGCAAACTCGCCAGAAGAAATATGGAGATGTTTTTACATGTAAAATAGCTGGAAACTTCATCACGTTCATCACCGACCCCTTCTCATACAGCTCTGTAATTCGACATGGAAAACATCTGGATTTTCAGACCATTGCATTAAAAATTTCAAGAAGGGTGAGAGCTCCTGCTTGTTTTCTGAAGTATTGTTTCTCAAGTACAGTGCAAAATGATGAACTGAATAAGTTGCTAATTTTATTGATCATATTGTATTACTTTCTCTGATTTAATGGATTTATCATATTTTACAAGAAGTTTAACTGATGGCAAATTGTCTTGCAATTACAGTCTGAATAAAAACACATGAGTATGTCATGTAAATGATAACGTGTAAACAATCAGTCACTCACTGGGGATTGATGAACTCTGTGAGTTAGTTTATTTTAAAAAATACAATATAATTCAGCACAGGAACAGGGCGTTTGGCCCACTAAGCCTGCGCTGATTCTAATCCTTAGCTAGACCTACTACTTATTATCCATTCCCAGTTTCTATCCCTCTGTTTGCCTTCCGTTCGTGTGTCTATCAAGAGTCGTCTTAAACGTTGCTAACGTGCCTGCTTCCACCATCTTCACTGGCAGTGCGTCCCAGGCACCCACCACCCTCTGGGTGAAAAATTTTCCCTGCATTTCTCCCCTAAACTTTCCCCCTCTCACCTTGAACCTGTGCCCTCTTGTAGTTGACCTTTCAACCCTGAAAAAAGCCTCTGACTATCCACCCTATCTATGCCTCTCATAATTTTGTTGACCTCTATCAGGTTTACCCTCAACTTCTATATTTCCTGTGAAAACAATCTGAGTTTATCCAACCTCTCCTCATAACTAAAACCTTCCAGACTAGGCAACACCCTGGCTAAGCCTTCTCTGCACCCTCCCCAAAGCATCCAGGTCTTTCTGGTAGTGTGGCAACTAGAACTGCACACAATATTCCAAGTGTGGCATCACTGAAGTTTTATACAGCTGTAACATAACTTGCTAACTTTTATATTTGATGCCCCAACCAATGAAGGCAAGCATACTGTATGCCTCCTTGACCACCATATCCACCCGTGTTGTCATTATCAGGGATCTGCGGACCTGTACGCCCAGATCCCTCTCTACGTCAATGCTCCTAAGGGATTGTATAATTCACACCTGAATTTGATCTTCCAAAATGCATCACCCTGCATTTGTCTGGATTAAACTCCATCTGCCATTTCTCTGTCCAAATCTGCAATCTATCTATTTCCCATGGAGTCCTTTGACAATCCTCCTCACTATCTGCAATTTGGTCAATTTTGGTGTCATCTGAAAACTTACTAATCAGACCACCTACATTTTTTCTCCAGATTATTTATATATATTATAAACAACAACGGTCCCAGCACTGATCCCTGTGGAACACCACTAGTTACTGATCTTCATTCTGAAACGCACCCTTCCACCACTACTCTCTGTCTTCTATGACCAAGCCAGTTTTGTATGCAACTAGCCAGCACACCTCGAATCCCTTGAGACTCCACCTTTTGTACCAGCCTGCCATGAAAAAAGAAAGCATACCTAAGGTCTAGGCAACTAAAAACCGACAAAGTCCTTGAAGAATAGAGAAAGTAGGAAGGAGCTCAAACAGGGAGTTAGGAGAGCTAAAAGTTGCAATGAAATATCCTTGGCCATTTTATCAAATGCCTTACTAAAGTCCATGTAGACAGCATCACTGCCCTTCCTTCATCAATCGTTCTTCTCACCTCCTCAAAAAACTCAATCAAGTTGGTGAGACACAACATTCCCCACAGAAACCCATGCTGCCTGTCACTAAAAAGTCCATTCACTTCCAAATGTGAATAAATCCTCTTTCTCAGTATCTTCTCCAATAGCTTCCCCACCACTGATGTCAGGCTCACCGGCTTTTAATTACCTGGATTATCTTCTGTTTCCCTTCTTAAACAAAGGAAAAAAATTAGTCATTCTCCAGTCCTCTGGAACCTCACCTGAGGCCAAAGAGAATGCAAAGATGTCTGTTAAGGCCCCAGCTATTTCATCCCACATTATCCTGGGACAGATCCCATCTGGCCCTGGGGACTGGTATACCTTAATGCGTTTCGAAACACCCAACACTTCCTCCTTCATTATGGTAACCTGCCTGAGACATCCCTGACATCCCTCTCTTTGGTGAATACCGATGTAAAGTACTCCTTAAGGATTTCACCAATTTCCTCTGGCTTCACACATAACGTCCCTCCTTCATCCTCGAATGGGCCTACTCTCTCCCTAGTGACCCTCTTGTCACTAACATATGTATAAAATGTCTTGGGATTCTCCTTAACCCTACTGGTCAAGGACATGTCATAGGCCCTTTTAGCCCTCCTAACTCCCCATTTGAGCTCCTTCCTACTTTCTGTATTCTTCAAGGAATTTGTCTGTTTTTAGTTGCCTAGACCTTGGGTATGCTTCCCTTTTTTTTGACAAAGTTGATAATTTTCCCTGTTATCCATGGTTCCTGAATCCTGCCATTCCTGTCCTTCATTTTTACAGGACCATGCCAGTCTGGCACTCTAATCAACTGGTCTTTAAAAGATTCCCATATGTCAAGTGTGGATTTATCCTCAAAAAGCCACTCTCAATCCACATTCTCCAATTCTTACCTAATTCGATTATAGTTGGCCCTCTCCCAATTTAACACTTTCATCCATTTCTCTTGTCCTTATCCATATGTATCCAAGAACTTAAGGAATTATGGTCACTATTCCCTACTGAAGCTCTGATCACCTGGCCGAGCCCAATTCCCAATACCAGGTCCATCACCCCCACAACTGCCCTGTTATTTTCATATCTTTTCAAAATCTGATTACAGATTCTGTAGGTGCTTTTGATTGCCACATCCATTGTCTATCTTTCCTGTTGTGTTTTCAAGTTTTGCTTTCACAGATTGCCTCTGTTGTTCCAGAATTTGCTTGTCCCGAAGCACTAAATCCATGGTTTGTTCTAGTTTAGCTGTTGACAGATTTCATTCCTCAAATTGTTTCAAAAGGTTCAAAATTTCTTAGCATTTACTGGTTTATACCTTAAGAGCTTCCTGCTCATTTTGCAGTTTCCAGTTGTATACCCTGGTCTAGTGATTGTAATGAGGTCAGTCAGGTGGACCTCACAGAATAGGAGTTCCCTGATTGGGGATGTTAATCCAGTCCATTCAGGGAGCCCTGGCTGACAGATATAAACAGGAGTGTCAGATGTTCTGCTCACACTGAAAGCTGGCTCTGAGGGAGCTGGATCAGTGTCAAGGACTCTCCACGTGTGAATAAAGGGCTACTTGGTGACGGGATACCACTGTCAGTAGAGTTATTTCACTTAGAGTTTTCTAGTTATATCAAAGCTTAAGCTTTCTGTTCATTCAGCATGTTTTATTTTTCTAAGCTGCTCCAACAACTGTCCTGACTCATCGATTTCCTTTCTTTTGTCTTCTTGGGAAGCCTGAATCTCTTCCACTTGCTGCTTCCTTCATGTCCTCCTTCAGTTCTTTCACTAGTTAAGTGCCTCAGGATGAATAAATCATATTGTCCTTTCTGCAGGAAAGCAATGCAGGGCTCCCACTAGTTCTCCATTGGTTGGGGAACCCCAATCACAGACGAATTCCCACCTGATATATTTCAGCTCCCTCTTCACAGCTCCAATCTCATTTTTTCTCTGCACTCTGCAGCCTTCTGGACTCAATACATGCAACGTAAATAATAACCTCTGCATCATCTGGTCTATATGTTTTTGAAGTATTATATTTTGCTGTCTTCTATCTTTCATTATCGCTTCCTGTTGCATTCAGACAGCTGTTACATAGTCAGTCTTACCTCCACTGGCTCAAACTTTATTTCTTTGCTTTACACAGTTCTACTCTCATTGACTTTTGCATTGTGAAATTTTTCATTTATTAATGTCTTTGCCCTGCACCTTAGCACAGACCTTCCATTTTTGTTCTTCCTGCACCTACCCCTCTTATGTCGGTCTCCCCTATTCCATGGTTCTGATGAAAGGTCATTGACCTGAAAAAGGAACTCTGTTACTGTCTTCATGGGTGCTGCTTGACCTGCTGAATAGTCTCTGCAATTTTTATTTAATATAAATCGGGGTGAAATGACTTAAATCTTTCTTGCCAAAATCATGGAAGTGAAGCTAAACATAGATGGAGGAGAAACCATTTTTTTCAAGTATCTGATTTGACACAATTCATACCATCAAAAGATTAGGCATTAGTGTTATAATGGGCATCTAATTTAAACATGAAAACATGGAGGACATCTTAATGGAAGTTGTTAAGCAACCGAGTATGAATTGGTGGATTCAGAAATATAATTTAAATGTATTGCAATAACTCAGTCATAACTAATTTCTGTCTTGATTGCTGTATTGAAAAGATAGTTTCAAAGTCTGAGCCTGCCAAGTGGCTTAGCAAGGTTAAAATTACAGAGCATAATCAAGTCAGTGACATGTGAACAACTTTTGGATATGTAGGATGTCTTTACTTTGCAGGGTAAGCAATATCTGATCTTTCAGCTAAATTAACCTCATGTTCTTGCCTGTACAAGTTGCTTTTGGAAGTATATAATCAATCACTGTTTGTGGTTGTTTTCTTTGCTCTTCAGTTATTTTAACTTTATCCCAGTTTAGCTATCTTTGCATAAACATGTTTTATTTGCATTGTTGTGCCATACATAAGTATTCACGCTGTACTCAGCAACATAAGTAATTAAATTACAATTTACATGTTTACACATTTTAGTTAAGCACCTAGAGATGAATTTCTACATTCCTAATTACTGATCATAACTTTGGGGAAGAACTACTGAGGAAAATATCATAAAGCCCTATGAATGTTCATTCTTACCCTACCTCCACCTTACCTTCTCATAACCAAATAACATTCACTATTAATTTCCCTAGTGTGCTTTAGCTTCATGAATATTATAAAATCTACTTTGCTTCTTTTTCTCAGTCTTCTCATCTCAAACCTCTGCATTCTTGACTGTTTGGTTTTTTTGCCTTCTACTGATCATCGACAAACTTAGAACAACATGCACAGCTGTTGAGTCATAGAGTCCTACAGCACAGAGACAGGCCCTTCAGCCCAAACTGGTCCATGCTGACTAAAAT